ATCCCCATTGCCCTTTTTACAGCGAGCCACAGATAAACATGAAAAATTCCTTCAATAATAAAACAAAGTATCCTAAAGAAAATTCAGTTTAAAAGATTTCTCAAAAACTCAAATAGTATTTAATCAACCAAATCAATAAACAACCAATCGCTTTACGTACCTAAATCTTTCAACCAATAAATTTCAGCTGATATCAGCCAGCCTTTTAAACGTGCTTTGAAGAATCTGAATCAGGTAATCGATCAGTCAGCTGATAACGTATCCACTGTTGTCAAAAAACCAAAAAACAAGTATTTTAATTATTTATATAACGAGAAGTGAAATTACAGGTAAGGACAGTGTTATATATAATACAACAGACAATGTTTCATTTTTACAGCAAAACAGTTAACTACATGTAGGGTTTCATTACAAATTAATGCTGAATTTAGAACAACTTCGGGCATTTATAGATAGAAGACCAGTTAACAGTTAGTTTTAAACGAATTATCTATTCAATACTCTGAGTTTTCTGAAATTCTTCCATATATTCCCTTAAAATGTCTGTTTCTTCAACAGTCATTGCGTTATATAAAGATGCTCGAATGCCACCAACAGATCTAAAAGTACGATAACACAGTTCACCTGCTGGGCAACCATGAAAGACGATTATTAAAAATGAAGAAGTGGCAAAATTCAGAGTTTTATTCTCAAAAACAAAGAACAATTTCACTAAACTAAAAATTCTCAAAGAAATAAAGCATTTTTTGAAATCCAGCTGAGACTATTAATAACCTGTGTCCTTTGAGTCCAATCATTCCCTTGCGTACAGCCCCTGCCAGGAATTTCGCTTCCAGTTCTTCCGCATTACCATATTCATTGGTGATACGAAATGGAATGTTCATAGAACTACGATATTTTGGTTCCACAAAGGAATAGTAAAATCCGGAAGACGAGTCGATCACATCGTAAATGAGCTTAGCTTTTTTCTGAAAAGGCAACAACTTAAAGCCCTTCATTAAAACTGACTAAAAATTATGTTTAAAACGCTAAAGCATAAAAATACCAAAAATTTGCCACTACTCAAAGCAAGAAATTGAAAAACGAAGGAAACTCCTTCCAGAACTTTGGGAACTAATACCTCATTCCTTTTTGCCATTTCTTCTACACCACCTTGATCGCGGATCCATTCTAAGACCAACTTGGTGACATATATACTAAATCGTATTTTTTTAAGCTACAGGAAATGCTGGACAAATAGAAAATAATAATTATCTGCGCAACAATGTTTTATACAAAAAAATAAAGTTTTTTAAAAGCTGCAAATGCTACGTGCTGTGTAGACACTCGTTTTACAATGTTACTTTAGAAATAAAAATAACAGTAATTGTCGTTAAATCCTGTTACTGTACCCAAAAACATTTGGTGTGTTGTAGTTGGAAAGAGTTCTTTCCATTTCGTAGTAACTTAAAATCGATGGCACTCCGCTGGTAGGTTTGATGAGATCTTTTCGTACAATTGCAATTGCTAAACCTGCAGCGCCCAAATTCTTCTGTGTCGAAGCAAAAACTAACCCATGCTAAATATATAATAAAAATATAATCTTCAAACAAATCAGCATTTAACTGATCAGAATAATCGATAACTACTAACGTTGATAAATGAAAATGGCCGGCTTAAAATATTGGAGGATACATCAGCAATTAGTGGAACAGCTGGTGTTGTTTCTGGAACATCTTTAAATTCTACACCATCAACAGTTTCATTGGAACAATAATATAAATATGCAGCATTAGGATTTCTGTCCCAGGTACTAAAGTCCGGTACTGTGTCAAAACGTTCAAGTGGTTTAAAAACCTGAAACGTAATATCAAAAAAAAACTAATTTGAAATTCAGAAAAAACTTTCAAATTTCAAAATACTTTCAATTTTAACGATTGTCAAACTAACTTTTCGGACGTCGATGTATTTGGAACCTTCTTTAGCAGCTGCTTGCGACCACCTACCTGTTATTGCGTAATCAGCGGAATCGTGTTCATCCCGCAGGTTGACAGGTATAGCTGCAAATTGAGCTGTCGCTCCACCATGCATAAACAAAACTGTATATTCATTAGGAATAGACCTGAAAATTATTAATAATGATTCTTTCTTTTTAAACTTAAACTTTCCGGTTACAATGTTCAAAATCTCAAAATAATCACAAACATTTCATCTCGTAGAAGCTTCACCGTTTCATTGAGCATATTTTTGAAGTCAGATGTGCGATGGCCCAATTCTAGAATATATATCACATAACCTTTGAAACTTTGAAGTAAATTTTCAATATGAACCCTCATGAAACAGCAAAACAGCACTGTTAAAACATCATAACGACTATTAAACTTTGAAAGCTAGTTTCGAATCCTTTAACTAAGGTTATCAACCGAAACCTTACCCACTATGCTGGTCCCTGTCCCATCAAGTACAATAAACTCTTCCTGAACTCGTTTCAGCACCTAAAAATACAATAAACTTTACAAATGCACAATTTGAAGTGTTCTCAAGAAAAGAAGTTAATTTACCTCATCAGAAATTTTAGCCGGACCAGCACCAAAATTTATCACTCTTCTCATGTTGTTAGCAAGTAATTGCCCAGCGAAGAAACCCTAAATTCAAAATCTGAATATATCAAATTGAATCAATTAACAATTCGACCGTTTTTAACAATAAACAACGAATATGGTTCAATGAACAATTTCGTAACGATAAATGGATTCGGATTAAGTTTCTTGCTAAAGCACGTAAAAATTTCCATGACAAGACCGTGCACAAAAAAATTACGAAAAATCTTAAACAGCCCAATCAGCTCAAAAGTGTTTTTTCAAGCAAGCAAAAATATCATGAAAAAAAAAACAATAGCGACGTGTAACAGACAACAGTGAAAGTGGACAAATGGCTTTTTAAATAATGGTGAACCAAAGTATCAGCAGAGCATTAAATATGACTTTGCTCTACGACAAACACGATGGCACATACCCATTCGCCTTTCACAGTGCACGACATTGCCGTATATTGGCTCTGACGGACAGCGTTGTAACAGAGAGCTGTTTTACCGACATGAATAACTAAATAAAGTGGAAGGACGCAACCCAAACATGTGTTTATGCGGTAGGGAACAGTGCAGCCAGTTTCTTGTCACCAAGGGCTGCTTATAGTGCTTCAGAATTCAAGTAAGACATTACGTCTGCTGATACGTTAGATTTAATTGAAATAAATTTTTTTCTTTAGTTATTAACTAAGGATTAGTTGTTAAGCGACGTCAATCGGTATTTGATCCTTAAGTTTTTCAATATTGATACACCATATGAAGCCCACAATTGGTAAAATCGACACACTGACAGTATTATTATGAAATTTTCAACGTTGTCCCAGCGGATCCACTAGACCAGAGGCTCTCAGTTGTTCTTAAAAGTAGTTTAGCGGAGACTTTCTGGTTACTTTTTTCTTCTAGGCCAATCTAAAAAAATGATTCACTCATCTAGAAACCATATTTCTATTACAATAAACTTTCACTCCCACTGTTTAACAACAAATTTCTTGGCTGTATCCTAAATTACCTGTTAAAATACCCTACGTTTTCGTTTTCAATTTCTTCAATAAAAATTCTTCTTTTAGTTGCCTACCACTTTCGGGACAGTCATTACCATAAAATTTAGTACTGTTTACGTTATTGAAAAGCTAATTTCAAAAAAAAAAATTCGAAAATACTATCACAGCAAATGTCCACCACCAGTAATTTATAACGTTTTACATCTTAAGCTGAGCGATATTTAGTGTCAAATACAATGGTCTTCGTGAAAATTGGTCAACAGTAGTATTTTGTTTCTAGTAGATACGTATTTTACAGTTTTCTTCCGAAATACGATGTGATGTTCAAGTTTTTCCTATGATTGTTATCACTGAAGTTGTTTTTCAAAGAAAATTGCAATATTGCATCATATTCGAAACCTTGGCAAAAAATGAACTGCGCAGATGAGTTATCATTTTATTAAAAAGTCGCATATACCAACACCTAAAGCTGTAGTTTATTGAGAAGAAAATAAAAAGTAAATGATGTGTTTTTATTCGTAATAGATAAATCAAATTCTTCTGAACTTCTCAAACATTCTTTGTTTGGGTGGAAAGAAAAAAACATTTGAACAGAGTTCAACATTTAGGAAATGGAAAACGAAGTTGTGAAATGATTATATGGCTAAGCGGATGAAAAATTAAACCGTTCAAAAGAAAGTAAGTGGAATGCATATTTATGGATCCTAAAGAAAATTCTGATGTCAGAAACCTTTTGTAAGATAAGATAATGTCAGAAAAAAAGTTCCTGCTTAATCAATCAGACATAGCGATAGCGGCTCTTTAATAGTACGGTCTTCGGCCAACGTAAGGTACGTCAATTAGCGCTGCAGAAGAAAAACATTTGTTTATTCGGTAAATAACTGCCAATTGGACAATGTAAGACAGGGCTCTAAAAAACAGTCGGAAACTGACTGAGCTTTCCTTTTGGTCATGATATAGCCAAAAGCTTTAACGGCTGCAGCGGTTGATAAAGTTTTAAATAAAACTTATAACTGAGAGATCGATTCGTACGTACGTAAAATATTTGAGCCGTATGTACGTAAAATAACTTATCTTCGCCCGTACATTGAGATGTTAATTTTTCTTACAAAGAAATTTGAAAAGAAATAGTAGTTTTTAGACTGTAACTACAGTAATTATTCATAAGCCAAGAAGTACTGTCAGCTCAGCGAGCTCTACAAAATTTCCTATACAAATTGCTAGATAATGCTTTTAAAGTCAATTAATCTAGGATACACTGAAGTTGCTCTCTCTCTCAAAAAACAAAACTATAAAACTATAACGACAGCATGATCTAGAACTTCAAAGATCATACAGTAAATTCAGACTACTAATACTGTTAGTACGACGCTAAAAAGTACAGCAGTACAGGTCCATCATAGGAAAAATCAAAATGTTTCAGTGTTTTTATTTTCAGACGGTCACAACTAAAACTGAAAATAGGTGAGCAGAAACGACAGTAGTGATAAATGTGCTCATCTCATAATCCCACTTTTTTTTCACATAAATTTCTTAAAAAGTAGATACAACCTTTTTTTTTTCTTTGCAAAACATAGTCGTCAGTTAATTTGACCAATTGTAACAGATAAATGTTTGGAGTGAATGATAAAACATCTTTCTGTGTCCACTCAGTTGTTTCTTTAGAGCAGTTCCGCTACCCAGCTGAACAATTATCGAATGCTGCATCAACCTTTTATGCGTCAAATTATTGCATAAAAACTCTAAAAAATGTTCTCATAATTATAAACATATTTTCCTCTTTTTGCTTTATTTTTGGGAATCATTCACGTGAACAGTAACAATTTTTACGTACAAAAAAAGAATAGATGAAAATTTTATCAGATCTATTTTGATCGATGAATTCTTTGCAGTTTTCCGACAAAGATTTAAGTGCAAACCTTCTCTGCCAGCGTAATAAAAATATTAACTCATATTAATAACTTTTTTTAGAACTCTGTCATTCAAATGTACATATCAGCTTTTCCTTATGTCTTCAAAATTGGCTGCTACTCATACGCATGAATTACTTCATAAGTAATTTGTTTTTTTTTCTTCATACATAAAAATTGAAACAACTGTAACTCAAATTATAGCCAAATTAATTGGTCCGAAAGAATGCAACTTCGACATTCTAAAGTCATCGTTTTGGTAGCAAATGCAGACAAGTAATATTTGGTTATAGAGAGTGTCATTCTTTGTTTCTGGCGTCTTTTATATTCTTTTTCTCATATAAAAGTCAAACAATGGGTAATAATCAACAGTTGAAACAGATCGGGAGAAAACACTGAACAATGTGGCAATTCGATCGATGTTTAACTGCCCCACTTTTTTTTTAGACTTTTTTGATATATAAGGTTTTACGTTGTCGTTTTGCAGCAAAGCAATTCATTTTCCGTTTATTGCAGACCAACTTTTGTAAACTTTGCCATGTACTACTCCCATTTTTATCACAGTAATATTGTACCATAAATTTTTACTGCCAGATAATGTAGTCTGTAATAAAGTACTTCTTTGACAACATTGTCAAACAGCAGGAAAAATTTTATTTGCGTTTAGTTTTAAGCTTTTCAAGCTACACTACACAGCTTTCCTGTTCGTCAGAACCAATTATTGCAATGGCTTATTTTTGGCCTTTCAATCGTAAAAATTTAACTATTATATATTTTTCAAGGATAATAAAGATTATATGCTTTGAAATATAGGCAGTTCTTAGAATTGACCACCTGTCCTGAACCATTAAAAAGATGTTATCAAGAGCAAAAAAACTGAAGGCTATTTACCCAATATATTAAAAAAAAGACATGTTAAAAACACTGTTCCAGGTTTACAACTGAAATAATTTGTTCCGAAAAATATGACTGTTAAAGAACTAACTAGATTCACAAATTGCGAGCGAGAGTCATCAACAGTCGTAACTTCAGCATCAAAACAATCGTCATCAACGACTCAGCACCTTTGGTCATTCCCGAAAAATGCCCGTTTTTCCAGTTTAAAAGACAAAAAAAAAGTCACAAAGGAGAAAAAACTGGCGAAACAAAATACATAGATATAAAAATAAAAAAATTAAGTATTTTTCTTCAGTTAACAATGCCCGTTGATACCCGGTTTTGACATAAACGCTGAGATTCCATTTAAGAAAAAATTGAAAAAGAAAAAATTTTTTTGCATAATAACTATTTTGCTTACTATTCATAGAATTTTAAGTTCGCCATTAACGCAGATGGTATATCTCTTCGTTCACTTCAGCAAAACTACTTGTCTCAGCAGGTTTCTGGAGAGCTCTTACAAAAATCAATTGATATCTACCGTTAGGCTGACTTCTACGGTTCACTACTATGATATCTTTCTTTGATGCGCTATTTTTTCTGCCTAAATTTCAGTAAAGTATAAATTTTTTAGAATTCTGTTACTACCAAACAAACCAATAAAACTTCTTTTTCCTCTTCACTTTAAGTCTCCCTCTTATTTGTTGATCTTCACTTACTTCTGTCACCTAAGGTATCGCAGGCTATCACGCGGTAATAACTCAAAATTTATTTTTTTCCACTGGTTATACACTGAAAAAAATGACATATAAAACACATCACTTCAAATATTGGTTCCGATCCCGTTGAAATCCATATTTTAATTTTAGCGGCTTCGAGAAGGTTTAATTGTTAAAAGATAACAGTCGCTACTGTATCAAGAAGTGCACTGTTGCAAAATTTTTTGCAAATTATCATTCATCTATTTTTATTTCGCATTTAATCAAGCATAGAAAAGTTGTAAAAACTGATACCAACAGTTTATGCAATCCTCTCTTATTAATTAGAAAGACCCAAAAAACTTTTTCGTTTTTTTCTCAGCCGTTTGTTTTTAATTTGGTTCAAAATGGTTATATGAAAATTTGAAATATTAGCCGCACCCATAATTGGTAAACAACTTCCCACAATTACAAAAAAGGCTTTAAGTTCTACGAAATAAAAATACCTTCTCAAACATTTGGAATATAAATTAAAGAATT